CCGACTCCGCTACTGATACCACAGAATATAGAACTGGCTTCGGCATTGTTACTAAAATGCACGGTACTTTAATCGAGGCAACCTCCACCAGGATCTCAAACAATAGTAGTGTTTACATGGCAGAATTGGTGGCAATTAATAATGCTTTTCTCTGGCTCTCTAAAAAAGAATATCCAGACGCCACTATCTATACTGATTCGCTTTCCTCGTTGCAAGCCTTACAAAACCCAGTATCAAGCTCAAAAATTGTTGAAAACACTAAACAATTATGGCGATCCAATATACTCTGCAATTGGGTTAAAGCTCATATAGGTACTCAAGGCAACGAGGAGGCGGATCGAGCAGCTAAGAAAGCCACCGATCTCTGCCGGGTTGCCCTTGAGGTCCCAAGCTCCATCGCCCAAATTAAAACTCAGGTTAAATTATATAGCATGAAGCGCTGGGGGCAGGAATGGCGGAGTTCCGAGAAAGGGAGACATACATTCAAATTTTTTAAAGACCCGAAATTAAATAGACTACAAGCAAACTTCTATCTCAATCAATTTTTAACAGGCCACGGAGTGTTTGGAGAACACCAAAGTAAATTATTCCACAAAACTCCAGAATGCAATTACTGTGGTGAATATCAATCTATTGATCACTTGTTAATGAATTGTTCTCAATTTCAGACACTCCGGGAAATAACTTTAATAATATTAATCAACATCAATGCTGTGCTAACCTGACTTGCAGAAACATCATAAAAAAGATTATTAAACAAACTTTAGAGGATGTATTGGGGGACGGTCTTTAATGGTCTCGGAACTTGCTCGTTCCAGCTTGGGTGTCTCAATTTTATTGATTGTATAGTTTTTTAACTTTTACTATGCCTTTTATTAGCTCTTCTACTTTTACTTGCTCCAATTTTATTGTAATTACTTGTGTACTATTTAATTGGTTTTAAGAGTACTGTTTTAAAATGTTATACTATATTGTTCTTTTGTAAATTTTGCACGTTTATCTTTTAAATTGTTCTCTTAACTGACACTTTTAATATATTGCTGTTTTAATGTTTTATCACCTTACATGACTTTTGCTGCTCTGCACCCGCCATGTTCATGGACTGTTGCCATGTCTGATGTGTATTTTATGTTCGTACTGTTTTCTGGATTTTAATAAACATTTACCCGTGTGCCCTAAATAAAGGCGGGTCGGGGTAAATTTTTTTTTCTTCATATTTTTAATCATATAAAAGGATTTAAGGAAAATTTTTTTGTATTATAATTAATATTTTTATAAATTAAAAGTAGTAGAAACAATGCTAGATTATTTAAAGATATTTGATTAAGTTATTTTTTAAAATATCTTGTATAAAAAAGGCAACGAAAATTTTTTTAACCTGAAACAATTAATTATGAACAGGATTAATATTATAAGGATTCAGCTCTAAAAAGCCCCGAACTAGTGGGCTATGCATTTTATCTAAGTGAAGTATGGTTTAGAAATAAAGGAATTGAAACGATAGTTTGAATTTAATATCGGCTACAACGCTCACAAAACATTCGTCTCAAATATTCGTCATTTTTACGAATTTTTCTGTTTTTCCTCAAATCTATAAGTATCCAGAGTATTTCTCGGTTTCTAAAACACATTAGTCAACAATAAACTCTGGGGTAAGTCAAGAGTTAGCCTGAATCATAAATTACACTAATGATTTGCAGCGAAACTCGAAGCTGACACTATAACTGACTGTCTAATCTATGGCTATATAACATTCTGTTATTAAACCTGTAATGAGACAATGCGGCTATAGTGTAGTAGGGAAGTAGGGAATTAACCTATTCTTGAAATTGATAGTTTTCTCAATTAAAAATCGTTAATCAGGTACTCAAAAGGCCATTTCTATAACATCAAGATGCAAGTTATTATTTAAATAGCGTTGAAGACAAAAAGGGGCGTGGTTAAGTGTGATGTCAGTTCTGTCCACCACTTTTTGCCAACCCCGGTGTAGTGGTAGTGTGGAAAAAAAATTCTAATCACTTTTCAGATTTTTATTCCTTTTAGAATAAATGACGGATTTGCCAAAGGACAATCGGACACTTTCCGATCTGTTTTAGTTGTCTGAGGTCACTTAAGGCTCTTTACTAATACGTTGGCATAGCATAAATCTGTAACTCGGAGTCTGAGGTCACTTACGAGTCTTTATACATGCATCGGCATTAGCATAAATCTGTTGCTTGTAGTCTGAGTTTATCTAAGGCTATTAACTCATACTTTTGCATTAGCATAAATCGTAACTCTGAGGTCATTTAAAGCTCCTTAAGGTGTCTGAGAACATTTACGACTTTTTATCTATTAATCGTTGATAAATGGGACACTGTGTGAAGTCTGTGGGACAGGATGGAAAGTAAGTTGAAGTTATTGAAGAGAACATTTCAGTTCAGGTAAATGTCTTTAAAGTATAATAATATCTGTATTAATCCAAATGATGCAGCTGAACATATGATGATCAACAATTTGTTACAGACGAGAAAATTTTTAATTATATGCATTGTACCCAGCGATGCCAACTTGCTCCGTTTTGCAAAAATATATTTTCTAGTGGTAACGAAGTTTAATTAATATTTAGTTTTGTATTTTTAATCTTTAATAATTTTTTCACCACTACGCATCAGAAATTTAAAGTGTCATATAAAATGCAAATTTGTTGCATATTTCACATGCCACCATCCTGCCTGCTTCACTGGCTGCAGTGAACGACCAAAGAACATCACGAACAAGGTTACTAGACTTCTCCGCATCTTTAAAGAGATGCAAGAGCTCCTACAAAATGCCGAACTAGCGACGATGCTGCAATCACTCCTGTCCGGAGCCCAAGCCTAATCCAACGTCCAGGACTAAGCCTTTTCCACGAGCCGATCACAGCTAGCTTCAAACTTTACTTAACACGTTCACGCCGGGTAAAGTGAAAATACTGGTAGAAGAACTATTTCAATATTAGATAATATTCGGGAGGAGTTAATCTATTCTCAACAATAACAATTCGCTGTAAGGAAATTTATCACAGCGAAGAAGCAATTCAATATAAAAATTGCATCTGTTAAAAACAATTGGTAGTTATGGATTTTTATTATTCCCTGAAAAAAACTAAAAAATGAAATTTATTTGTTACCAGTTTTTACTCCGGTGCGCTGCCAAGATGAGACACTCTAACGTGACCCACCGGTGGGTCACCCCGGTGTGAACGTGTTAATGGGGTCTCCCCTTCTGAATGATCATCTAACCACAATTCATGCTCTACTCCAATGATGACCTGAACTCTTTTTTGAAATAACTTCATGAACTCTAACATATGACTTACTAGCGTATGCCATTCTAGTGTAGACGAATCGGTCAGTGGTGTTTCGCGCCAAACACCGAGATCCCAATATCCAATGCATATTTCACGTAGTGACACTTTTAAAAAGTGGGCGTAATTATCTTTATTTCACAAGTTTTACTATTTAATTCGCCACCAATTTATTAAAACTTTTGCAAAAAGCGGAGCAGTTGGCATCCTTGTATGCCTACTATTTACAGATAAATGTTATTTGTTTTGGCAAGAGGGGGAATACCTACAATACCGGCGAGCAACTTTTCTTTGGTGAATTTTTTTGTTTGTAGATGCCGAATGATTTTTTTTTCTTCTTAAATTCCTTTTTTCTTCAAATTTGCACGTCAATTCTATTTTTATTTGATTTCTTTACTATTTTTCAAAAACTCTCAAATTTTGGTTGAATTTTATTTCTTATTTAAAATAACTGCTGCCCAATTATTGAATTCCAATACAAAATTCATGTGTTTGAAGGATTATTTCAACCCATGATTAATGAATGTGTCTAATAGTTAGAACTTAATAAGAACTTCGTATGCCCTTTTTAGGTGGAACGAGTAGTTTTTTGTCCCATGATTAAGATTACAAAAAGTTATTCAATCACATAGTAACTTCACAAAGTAATGTTCTACTTTGATTTGGTGTTATTGGTTTGTCTACACATAACTTTAGTATACATTATTAAATGTGTAGTTACTCGTAGAGTTATTGGCTAATAAAAGAATGGTTCATTATTGGTTAATATAAAAGCACATATCTAAAAATTGCATAACAATTCAAACTAAATATTAAAAAAAAGTATGCAAATTGTCTATAAAAAATATGATACCTATGTACTTTCTTTGAGGCTGGAATTGAATGACTTGAGGCTGATAGATATTTCTTTTAAGTCTTAAGTTCTCTATGAGACTTATATCTGATTTAATTTTTTCATCTACTTCATCATCCTCATGCTCAGGGTCGTTTTCTGCGCTGTCTTCTGAGTATCCTTTTTGAAAGCGTTTCCCTCTTGTAGCATGAAAAGCCCTTTTCACTGATTCCCAGTCATATTGGCGTCTGCTTTTTGACGCGGCTGCTTTAATGGAGTTGATGAAGAGGTCTCTGTTACCAAATGGTCTCGAAATCAAAGCTGAGCCAATTCCAGCCGGCATGAAGAAAGGGTAAGAATGGTAATAGTAATTTGCCTGATCCATGTCAGATGTCCAGCGACGTCCACGCATGGGCATGAAGGCATACCCTCGCTTTCCAATTCCGTATTCATTTGAATCTAAATCGAAGAAATCATTGGTATCATTTACGTTTGAAGTACGCCTTCCTCTCATCGGCATAAATGCGTATACTCTCTTTTTATATTCATCAGAAGTGTCACTTAATAATCTCCTTCCTCGCATGGGTGTGAAAGAATATCTTTTTTCTAGATCATCTAAGCTTTGCGTGTCATCAAAACCGAAATTTGAGATTGAGCGACGACCCCTCATCGGCATGAAAGAGGACGCCCTCTTGTCACCGTTATAATCCGCTATATCCAAAGCACGCCGACCTCTCATTGGCATGAATGATGAGGCTCTTTTTTCTCCATTTTCATTAAAGTCTAGATTATCTAACGTTCTTCGCCCTCTCATTGGCATGAATGATGAGGCTCTTTTTTCTCCATTGTCATTAAAGTCTAGATTATCTAACGTTCGTCGCCCTCTCATTGGCATGAATGACGAGGCTCTTTTTTCTCCATTCTCATTAAAGTCTAGATTATCTAATGTTCTTCGCCCTCTCATTGGCATGAATGACGAGGCTCTTTTTTCTCCATCCTCAATATTGTCTAGATTATCTAACGTTCTTCTCCCTCTCATTGGCATGAATGATGAGGCTCTTTTTTCGCCATCCTCAATATTGTCAAGACTATCTGACGTTCTTCTCCCTCTCATTGGCATGAATGATGAAGCTCTTTTTTCTCCATCCTCAATATTGTCTAGACTACCTGACGTTCTTCTCCCTCTCATTGGCATGAAAGATGAAGCTCTTTTATCATCATTATCCGTGTTATCCGCGATTTCTAAGGTTCTTCGTCCTCTCATAGGCATAAAAGATGAAGCTCTTTTATCATCTAAGTCAGCAAAATGAGAGTCATCATCGGAATCCTTTTTGCCTCTCATTGGCATGAACGACATTTTACGCTTGTCTTCGAATATGTCTGGTTGTAAAGGATCAAAATATTTATAAAACTGATCCTGCTTTCTTCCTCTCATTGGCATGAAAGAAGACGCTCGCTTATCCTCTTCATTTATAGAAGGCATTCCACCCAAACTATCTAGGAATGTATCAGTGTTATCCTTTCCAGCTTGATTCGAATCGATGGCATTTTTGAGCGTACCTCCCGCTTCTCTGAATAATGAATCTCTACGCCCTCTCATCGGCATGAAAGAATATGCCTTTTTTTCAAGCAAAGTGGTAACGATGCGTTCAGGAAACTCACTGTCAGATTTATCGTCTGAATTGGATAAAAGTCTTCTTCCCCTAATAGGTATAAAAGAAATGCTTCTTTTGTTTCGCAATTGTTCTTTTTGTGTCTCATTGATTCCTGAAACGTTTTCATCGGTTTTTCTACCACGAACAGGTAAAAATGAAGACATTCTTTTAACTTCTGTCCTGTTACTACCACTACTGGAGGGAAGCGTTATATCTGTCTTAATACTATCATACGTACCGGATTTTCCAAAATGCTGATATGTGTCCGAACTGGCATCAATCCTCTTTTTCCCTCGCATGGGCATGAAAGAGGATGCTCTTTTATCTTGGCTGTTCTCTTCCTCAGAAAAGTCATCCCATTCATCATTTTTTCTTCCCCTCATTGGCATAAAATAACTCGCTCTTTTCAAATCAAAGGGAATTTTTTTCCCTCTCAAGGGAAAAAACTGACTACGTTTGTCTTCAGGATCGGGCAAAAACTGATAATGGTCTGCAATATTTGCTTCATTATTAGGAATTTTTTTCCCTCTCAGGGGAAAAAAAGAACTACTTCGTTTGTCATCTTCATCTTGTTCTAAAAGATGTGATAAAGAAGAAACAAACTTAGTCCTTGGATCAGTAGAATCGTCAATTATTGCCTGCAATAATGAAAAAAAAGGGATTTATGTAAAAAAACTATATTTTGCCATT